ACCTGATGAAATTAAAGTATAACATTCTCGAAAAACGTGAGAAGCGTTAACCATATTTTTTTTCTCTCTCTATAGCAGTTAGGGCAACCATAAAACTGGTTAAAAATTAAAAAATACAATAATACATCATATACGAATGAAAAAAAAGGGCGCCGGAGTTGGCTTGGAAATGAAAGCTAACTTGACGCTGTTTTTTTTTGTCGAGAATACGGTATATTTATATGACTATATTTTGAGGATTATATAGAATTGAAAATAAAAAAAGTAAAATTATAATCGAAATTAAAAAACCACTGAGCAGTGAATTGATTAGCCCTAAAGTAATTTTTTATGTACAAAACGAGACGTTGTCCGTAAAAATAAAAATACAAAAAAATGCAATTAACAATATCACATCGTTATACCAAATCAACTAGTTTTGGTAAATCAACAATTGAAACGTTTTCTTTCATAAAATCCAACACCAAAAAAAAGACTAAAATTATTTTTTTTTCGAAAACATTAATTATAGTTTTTCCACAGCAATACAGTAAAATATTCAAAACCAAGAGGAATCTTTGTCAATAAAAAACTGATATTCAGTGATTTTTAAGAACTTTCATTAAGTTGACAATATTTAAAATTGTGCTGTCATCATTATGCTTTTACATCTATCACAAGTCTTACTATGAACTCTAGCCTTTGAATAATAAGATTACGGAAAAGGCATATAAAAAATCTTAGATCGAATGCGACGGGGTCCTAAAATGGCTTAAATTCCGGTTTATCAGTGCCGTTCCAATTTTATTCAAAACGTGTAAAAATATGATGTAGGGTAAATAATTTGTTGTTTTATTTTACGTTGTGAATAAATGTTGGTAGTTACTAAAATTGTTATAAAAATATATAATTCTAATAAAAATAGATACATTATAATAACCGATACGCTACTGAAGCAGGTAAGTCAAATTGACGTATCTAAATTCCTTGACATCTAATCTTTGACAAGTAGTAAATAAAAGCAAAAATGCAAGAAAAAAATATTACTACACATACAGGGTGAGTTTCCTACGATGTTCTCTATGGGTATCTCGGAAACTACTGGAGATAGAGAGTCGGTTAAATAGGGAAAGAATTGCAGTTTTGTGGGGTCATAAATATTCGCCTTTCAGATTTTTGAAAAAGTTCATGGCTTACTAGATATTTCGAAAAAAACAAATTTCCGCTATTTTAAAAATTGTCTCTAATTCCATTATAAGCTATTTTAGACAAGAAGTTTTCAGATAAAAGTTGTAGATAATCACATCCTTAATGAGACCGTGTCCTTCGTTTTTTTCTAAAGCCTGTCATTTTTGATATATGACACAAACATAATGTTTTTTTAAATGGAAACCGTAGTTGGCCATGACTTCATAAAAAGCGCAATTTTTTAAGCTTTTTAGTGATATAAGCTATAATATCTTTTCTTCGAAAAATTACCGAGTTATAGTAATTCAATTCTTATCATTTTTAAACAATTTCACTTAGTTAGCCATGGAATCGGTGTTGCCCTCAGAAATGTTAAGCTGTCACATCCAAACTTTGTAAATTATAATAAACAAAAATTGTAAATATGAATTTTTCAAATGAAGAAAAGCGTGTAGATACTCGCACATCAATAGAGTGGTTCCAACATGACTTTCAGTATGACACACCACCTCCCACCCTTCATAATGAAAGATATTTTAAAAACTATTTATATCATAATTATACAAACGCAGGGATAGGAAGAGGTGGACTAATTGCATGGTGCTTCTCGATCACTTGACCTATCCATTTTAGAATTTTTTATGCGCTATAGTTAACAATAAAGGTTTACAAAAGAACTTACGAATTAAGAGAGACACTCGAAGTGGCGGTACGAGAAAAGTTTAATTAAGTCTACCGATCCTTCTGTAAGAATAAGTAGTAATTCAGTTTTTAAAAGATGCAACTCAAAACATTGGCGGATTTTTGAACATTTTCTAAAATAATTTAAAGTGTATGTAGTGATATTATTTTTTTAAGTTTTAGTTTGTGTAATGTAAATTGTAAAGAACCGTTTAGAACTTTTTATAAGTTATAAATCATAACAGAATAAGAATAGCATGCAATCTAAGTGAAATTAGTCAAGAAAGATAAGAATTGGCTATA